AGAAGAGAGGGACACAACCTAGAACAGATAATGGAAGTCTATTCTATTAACATTTCTCTATCTGGATAATGGGCCCCCTCCCTGTCTTTGCCCAGGGCCTCACATTTCCTAAATCCGCCCCTGGCTGTAGCATCTCACAGGATGAAGCTGAGAGTCTGAATCCAACCTTAGGAGAAACGTGGGCAGATGTTCAGGGGCCCTTGGCTCTCAGGGGCCTGTTATTATGAGTGTAGCAACAGGATATCATCAGCTGGATGATTTGATCACTTAAAGCTGCTCCACAGTCTGGGAGTTGGATGAATCCAACTGGTGATGAAGTGGATTTTAGCTCTGATGGTCTGACCTGAGATCAGCACCTTTTATTTTCTGCTGGAGTTAATGGAAGACCAGGAGCATTGATGGTGGAAAAGGAAACAGGATTCATTCATTATGGCTGCCGGCTGTTAGCTGGAATAATACGCCCACTGCTGGTGGTTTGACACTTTTCTGCTGCTACATAAGGGATGTTTCTATTCTATTCTATTCTATTTCCAAACTGTTCTGTTCTATTCCATGCTGCTCTGTCCTATTCTATTCTGTTCTATTCCAATCTGTTCTGTTGTATTCTACTCTATTCTATACTATTTTTTTCTATTCTATTCTGTTCTATTCTATGCTGATCTGTTCTATTCTATTTTACTCTGTCCTATTCTATTCTATTCTGTTATATTCCAATCTGTTCTTTTGTGTTCTATTCTATTCTACTCTGTCCTATTCTGTTCTAATCGGTTCTATTCCAATCTATTCTGTTCTATTCTATTCCAGTCTGTTCTGTTGTATTCTATTCTAGTTTTTTCTATTCTGTTCTGTCCTATTCTATTCTATTCTATTCTGTTCTGTTCTTTTCCAATCTGTTCTGTTGTATTCTATTCTGTTCTATTCTATCCTATTCTATACTATTGTTTTCTATTCTGTTCTATTCTATTCCAATCTGTTCTGTTCTATTTTACTCTACTCTACTCTATCAGTCCTGCACACAGCGCAGTCCAGGATGCAACATTATTCTCGTTTCTTTGTCAGAACCTTCTGTTCTAGGTTAAATCCCAACTTTCCAGGAGCATTTAAACGCACCACCAGAACCCTTAAATTCCAGTCCAACAGGCGGTTATATTTTCAATGCATGAAGTTTAAATAACTGATTAGCTTAACTATGAATTTGAACTGAAAGAGAATAAAAGCTTGTTTCTGAATTCTAGATGTTCCAAACCAGGCGTGTTTTGGACGGTTCCTCAGACTCGGCTCCTGACTCTTCATCACTCAGGTCCTCTGATCGCTGTATCAATCTGGTTCTGCACTGCAGCGCTGCAGGCGGCTGAGCACCAGATGTTTGTTCAGCTGTTGGATCCAACAGGTCCTCTGAGGCTGATCTCTGCACACAGATGGTGGTCAGTAGAACACGGAGCAGCGTTCTCCTCTGTTCAGCAGCAACCGGAGCAGGAAGCTCTGTTCCTGTGGAAGGCTCAGACTGTTATCAACGCCCTGATCAGAGTGATATCACAGCGGATCCTTTGGGTTGCAGCAGAACCCGAAGCAGAGCTTTTTATTTCAGACAAAATGAAATTAGTCTTTCAGCCACTGGCAGGCTGGTAATTACGGCTCAGTTAGAGCTGCTGCTCCATTAATGGATCCGTTTCTGCTTTCAGAGGCCGGATTCTCTGGTCGGTTCCCCTGTTGGTGGGAACATCACTCAGCTTCATGTATCTGAGGTTTGCTGCAGAGTTTATTCACTTTACTGAAACCATTTAGGAAGGGGAAGATCTGAGCGTTCTTCTCTGCTGCTTGTTCCTGGTTTTAGCTGCATCATGTCTCCAAAAGTCTAAAGATTTGACCTAAAACCTTATTTACCTGCAGAAACGTCACACTGTCACATTAATGCATTTCATTTTTGGAAATGGAAACCCCCTAAAATGACCGAATGTGGCAGAAAAACAGATTTTAAAGGAGCAAAGAAACTTAAACGACTGCAGAGAAATACAAAAATCCATAATCTTAAAGAAAAAGATGCGAAATTACAAGAACGGAAAACGATTCCAAGCATCCAAACCCTGAGAAAAAGGAAATAAATGTCCAGAAACAGAGAAAGAATGGATTTAATCAGTTTCAAAGTGAAACAAAACCGCCTGAATTAAAGAAAAGCAGCAAAAAGGAGAAAAAAAAATCCTGAAAAGGTAAAATAATGACAGTCACAGAAAAGAATTTCGCTTTAAAATGTGAAGAAGGTCCAAATTATAAAATGAAACCAAAAAAAAAAAAAAGAAATGAGACAGAATATCCACAAACAAAGAAGGCTGCACAATATTATAAACCAAAACCCAAAGCAAACTGACATAAAAACAATAAAACGAAGAGCGATGATGTAAACAATGACAAGTTCCAGATAAAAAGCATTAAATAAGAAAAACTAACATAAAAAATTAAAAATTCCCCACTGCTATTTTTATTTACTCTTTAAGATTAGAGTAATATGTTCCTTTTTTTCTTTTCTTTTCATTTCTAATAATTGTGAGTCTGTGTTTATGATACAGTTTCCCCATTGCAGGAAAATCCTTCTCTTATCTGAACAAAATCTGATGCAAAACTGTTCAAATCAGACCCAAAAGGAAAATAAACTCACAAAAAATACAAAGTTCACATACAATTTTCATACAAATTAAGAACTTCATGAAGAAATTGAAAGAGACTCAGAAAGGAGAGACATAGATGTTACTAAAACGTTTAATAAAGAGAGAATAAGTAAAGACCATGAGGCTCCATTGAAGCAAAGTGATCAAAATAAACCAAAATCACCTGAAAAGATTCACATTAGGTCACAAAAGCTAAATAAGACCTTAAGGTAAAAATAACTAATGGATCATTATTTAAAAAATAATACGTTTGCGGTGATAAATTTAACGTTAAAAAAATTAAAACAAAGATTTTCGTAATTCGATCACTGAGTCTGGGAGCGGCCATTTTTGCCCAAATATAGTAGCCCCTCCCTCCTGCCATCTTCCAGCAGTGACGTCACGGTGCGGTTAGCCTAGCGCCATTCTCCCCGCTTTCCAAGCTAAATCAATGGGAACTACTAGACACATCTGCAATCAACAACAATTATTGAAGATTTCCAGAG